CAATCTGATGTAGAGTTTCAAAATAAAAGACCTTTGAAGTGTCATATACAGTGGGGAAAAAAAGTATTTAGTCAGCCACCAATTGTGCAAGTTCTTCCACTTAAAAAGATGAGAGGCCTTTAATTTTCATCCTAGGTATACCTCAACTATGAGAGACAAAATGAGAAAAAAAATCCAGAAAATCACATTGTCTGATTTTTAAAGAATTTATTTGCAAATTATGGTGGAAAATAAGTATTTGGTCAATAACAAAAGTTCATCTCAATACTTTGTTATATACCCTTTGTTGGCAATGACAGAGGTCAAATGTTTTCTGTAAGTCTTCACAAGGTTTTCACACACTGTTGCTGGTATTTTGGCCCATTCCTCCATGCAGATCTCCTCTAGAGCAGTGATGTTTTGGGGCTGTCGCTGGGCAACACAGACTTTCAACTCCCTCCAAAGATTTTCTATGGGGTTGAGATCTGGAGACTGGCTAGGCCACTCCAGGACCTTGAAATGCTTCTTACGAAGCCACTCCTTCGTTGCCCGGGCGGTGTGTTTGGGATCATTGTCATGCTGAAAGACCCAGCCACGTTTCATCTTCAATGCCCTTGCTGATGGAAGGAGGTTGTCACTCAAAATCTCACGATACATGGCCCCATTCATTCTTTCCTTTACACAGATCAGTCGTCCTGGTCCCTTTGCAGAAAGACAGCCCCAAAGCATGATGTTTCCACCCCCATGTTTCACAGTAGGTATGGTGTTCTTTCTCCTCCAAACACGTCTAGCATTCTTTCTCCTCCAAACACGTCTAGTTGAGTTTTTACCAAAAAGTTCTATTTTGGTTTCATCTGACCATATGACATTCTCCCAATCCTCTTCTGGATCAGCTAAATGCTCTCTAGCAAACTTCAGACGGGCCTGGTATATGTACTGGCTTAAGCAGGGGGACACGTCTGACACTGCAGGATTTGAGTCCCTGGCGGCGTAGTGTGTTACTGATGGTAGCCTTTGTTACTTTGGTCCCAGCTCTCTGCAGGTCATTGACTAGGTCCCCCCGTGTGGTTCTGGGATTTTTGCTCACCGTTCTTGTGATCATTTTGACCCCACGGGGTGAGATCTTGCGTGGAGCCCCAGATCGAGGGAGATTATCAGTGGTCTTGTATGTCTTCCATTTTCTAATAATTGCTCCCACAGTTGATTTCTTCACACCAAGCTGCTTACCTATTGCAGATTCAGTCTTCCCAGCCTGGTGCAGGTCTACAATTTTGTTTCTGGTGTCCTTTGACAGCTCTTTGGTCTTGACCATAGTGGAGTTTGGAGTGTGACTGTTGTGGACAGGTGTCTTTTATACTGATAACGAGTTCAAACAGGTGCCATTAATACAGTTAACAAGTGGAGGACAGAGGAGGCTCTTAAAGAAGAAGTTACAGGTCTGTGAAAGCCAGAAATCTTGTTTGTTTGTAGGTGACCAAATACTTATTTTCCAACATAATTTGCAAATTAATTCATTAAAAATCAGACAATGTGATTTTCTGGATTTTTTTCTTTTTTCTCATTTTGTCTCTCATAGTTGAGGTATACATAGGATGAAAATTACAGGCCTCTCTCATCTTTTTAAGTGGGAGAACTTGCACAATTGGTGGCTGACTAAATACTTTTTTGCCCCACTGTATATGAAATTGCATTTTTGAAAATCACAACATTTACATCTTGCGATCAGGCATTCCAGTTTATATTTGTGTTATCAAAAATAATTTGTTGATCTCAAATTCTATTTGTGAATTTATATTTTACTCACACAGAGTTTAAGACAAAACACAAATACCATGGAGACAAGAAAAACAAGATGTTGAAGGGAAGAGAAGTGGACCATCAGCCACAGCTAATATGATTATGTTGTGCTGGACGCTGAGTCCGGCTAATGGCTGATCACATTACTGATCTTGTGACTCCATAGAACTAAAACAGATAGAAATGCTGTCAAACAACCTTCAGCTATTACCAAACACTTAACCTGGTCATCACACTCTTCTTGTATAAATAATGAACCAAATTATATATGAAAGCTTCAGTACCTAGTAAGCTGAAGCAGCGGAGGACCTCGTTGTGGTTCTTGACAGTCGGAGGGTTACTGTAGTCTATTGGTGCAGAAACCTGGGAGGAGAAAGGAGATGTGTCAACTTGAGCCCTCAAACAAGTTCTGGTGAGCTCTGACATGTCTAAATAATTACATAGAACAAGTTTATTAAATCTCAATGGTAATGGCCGGATGTTTACCTCAATCAATTACCTTTGCAGCAGTCATAATAATAATAATAATGAGGAAAATACCTTTGACCTGCTAAACAGTTTTAAGGTTTTGAGTCGGATCAGTGAGATAGGAATATCTGTAGGTGTGGTTAAGATTATGCTGCTGTAACATTCTGATGAAACACTCCCAAGACAATCCAGATCATGCTCACATATGGTTGGAAGACTCATTGTGGTAACGTGTTGCGACATAGCAAGGCATAGGGCCAGCTCAGTCACAAGGTTATGCAAACATCTGACTGCAGCGCCCCTGACAGTCATTTGACACATTTCAAAAAGAAAGCCGCTTAAGGTGAACCTACAGTGAGATGCAAACCCAGTGTGCCCAGTGCTTAGCCTCAGAGTTGTGATTTATGAGGTGAACCGTTCTGTCAGTAAACAGAAGGATTTTGACATTGCACAATGACTGCATTACAGCCAGTATGACACAGACTTAAGTAGTGTGATAGAAAGTGCTGATTGAAACCAGCAACCGACAGTGGTCCTACCACACAGATCCACGTGAAGGTGATGTGATGTATTAATGTAAGAATGTTATGCTTGTGGTTTGCTCAAGGGATGTTATTGGGCACTCTCACTTCCGTTTTTTTTGTTAGTTATTAACCATTTCAAACGTTTCACATTAGGTCTCCAAGAAATGCATTAGCTGAGCTTGATGGTCTGACCAACGGTACCTGGTATGGATTCAGTTCAATTAATTCATTCACAGAGTAACATCTGCCCCGCAGCTGAGCGACTCATTCACGCCTTCATCTCCTCCCGCCTTGACTATTGCAACTCACTCCTCTTCGGCATCAGCACAACATCCCTCAACAGACTCCAGCGTGTCCAGAACGCAGCCGCCAGACTCCTCACCCACACCAAATCATGGCATCACATCACCCCGGTCCTCAAAGAACTCCACTGGCTTCCCGTCTCACACCGCATTCACTACAAACTCCTGGTCCTCACCTATAAAGCCCTCCACCATCTGGCCTCCCCCTACCTCACTGACCTCCTCATCCTCTACCAACCACCCCGGTCCCTCAGATCCACCTCAGCCGGTTTGCTCTCAATCCCCAAGGCCAAACTCCGGAGCTTCGGGGACAGAGCCTTCTCTGTGGCAGCCCCGAAGGCTCTGGAACTCCCCTCCCCCAAGACCTCCGTGAGTCTGATTCCCTCACCCTGTTCCAGTCCCGTCTCAAAACCCACCTCTTCAACTCTGCTTATCCTTAAACCCGCCCCTCCCCCCTCTGAACCAACATCCTCCTGACTGCTTTTCTGTTTTTGTTTTGTTTTTGTTTGTGTTTTTGTTCTTGTTTTGTTTGTCGACCTTAC